TCTGTGTCTGTGTGTGTGTGTGTGTCTGCATAACTAAAGAGCCGCAGCTGCTGCAGTGAGCAGGAGACGCTGGCATGTGGAAGGACATCTGGTGGGCAGGTAGAGAAACACAAGTCCTGAGGGAGAACAGGAAGAAAAGATGCATAACAAAACACAAGTGCGTTCACTTGGAAATGGCACAAAGTACAGGAGAGTAATTCGACTTTGTGGAATCATTTTGTGGGTTTATTATGCGTCAGCTCGGCTGTTTGTTCCCTCTCTTTCCCCGCTCTACAGTCAGTGAGTGTAATCCGGTTGTTGTTTTCCTCTCCAACAGTTTATCATGATATTGAATCCAAGTTCAAGAGGACGACGCTCCGCATGAGGAAACAAAACAAAGGTACATTTGTATTCATTCAGCACTTAGTTGCCAGGACTGAGGTTAAAGGATAAGACTGGCGATATTCTAACCAGCAGTGCATTAGTCCATCTCCCTCTCTATGTTTAGTTCCAGCCCCAAGCCCTTTCATTCCTACTGGAGACGTTAAACAATGAGTCATAAACATAGATAGAGGTCTATTTTTTTTTTTTTTTTTTAAGTCCAGCAATTTCCCAAAGCACCTGGTCACTGTGGTTTTAAGATATTTTTAATCAAACAGAAGTATAAAGTGCATTTTTTGGGGAACTATTTTCAGCTGTGGATTAATACACATTTGGTGCTCTTGTGGGTATTTACAGCAGCAGAAAGGAGTAGGTGGCATTGACTCAAAACAAAACACAGTGCCCACTCTCATCATAATGATGGAACATGATGGTGCAACAGTGTGACTCACTGATGTGTTTTTAATAGTTATAGTTTTTTTAAATAACCTCTATCAGGTCAGATCATTGGGTTTGGTTGACTTATCCTTTAAGCTCTAGTTTTACTCAGTGAGGTTGGTTGTACATGACGATACGCACTGTGAGATGAAATCTAGGTAATGCTTTGTTTTACACGTCTCTGTCCAAATAGTTCCCTGGAAAGAAATATGTCATCTGGTCCAAATTACAGGGAAAGTAGGGATGTATTTAAAATAAATGCTCCATTTAAACCCATTGATTCATTATTTGTTTATTATTGGAATCTGTGTTCTCTATAAATGTTGAGATGTATGATTTATGTGTAGCTCAGCTGACCTGCTGTGCACTGACTCATACTCTTACACTTGAAAATATAATACATTATTAGGAAGTGCAGTAATATAATAATGTCTCTATTTGGACAGAAGACTTTATATTGTCCACCTGTAGAGTCCCGCCCTGGTGACGTCAGTGCGTCTCTCTCTCTCTCGGTGTCTCTGCAGGTTATGGTCTGCACTGCCACCGGGCGGTCATCACTCTGTGCAAGCTGATCGGCATAGAGGACATGTACTGCAAAGTAGAGGGATCCATCAATTACCTCAACATCACCAGGGCCCTCTTCACTGGATTAGCCAATCAGGTGAGGTCATGTTGGCATGAGGTGGGGCGTGGGGGTCCTTAGCTTTAACTGCTACTGGAAAAGCACCACTCTCCCTTTTATTTTCTGAGTCACAGACAACAAAGCAAAGTGCTGTGCAATAAAGCGAGGCCTGAAACATTTTGTTAGATCTTTATAAAGCAGGTCTGTAAAGGTGAGTCATCTCATTTTACGCAGGTTTTACAAAAGCGTGTGTTGATGATGCTCAACGAGCTGTCCTTGCTCACTTTTCAACATCTTTGTGAGTGCTGTAAACACAACAGTCACATTTGTCCCCAACAAGTTCAGAGATTGGAGCCTCAGCAACATCTGTCTTCTTCTTCATCTCTTATTATTATTCCTGTCTTCACTAACATCCCCCTCTTCTTCTCCTGCCACCCGGCAGAAAACCCACCAGAGTCTGGCCGACAAGAAGAAGCTCCACGTCGTCGAGTTTCAGTCGGAGCGAGGCCCGCTGCCCACTGTGGTGGCGACTCCTAAAGACGGGGCACAGCCCGACCCAGAGCCCACGGACGAGATCCCCAACACCCGGCTGCACTGGGACGACGTGCGAGCCACGCAGGGGACCAAACGCTCGATCTGGGCCGGTGTCAAACGCACCATCTGGTAGGGCGGGAGTGGGCTGATTCAGACGGACTGGATCAGACCACAGGACAGATGATTGGACTGATAAAGGCCAGAGGTGTCTGATGGAGGGTCTGATTTATGTGTGGAACAAAAACTTTTTTTTTTTTTTTTTTCAAGCAGAGTTTCCAGTTTTTAAATCTGTGATTGTTTTGTCAGCTAAGGACTTAAGTTACACGTTAAGTTACACGTCTCTCAAAGTGAAGACATCTCATTTATTATGACAACTCTCCAGCTACACCCCACAGAGGCCGATATTCACACTCAGTAAAATATTAATGCCCTAGATATCGATGTTTGAATTGTTGGAATTGTTCAAAAATACAGTATAAATAAAATATAAATGTAAAAAAGCTTAATTCATTAAAAGTGATTTTTCCCTCAACAGCTGACCTTCACACTGAGCTGCTGATTGTCTGGATGAATGAATGAATGAATGAATGAATGAATGAATGAATGAATGAATGAATGGATTTGAAATATCAAAGTTAAATCTGAAAGGGAACCACACAGTTAACACCTGTAGTCGGACACTGATGATCAAGGACAAAGAAAATGACTTGTTCAGGTACTTGAAGCTTTCCCACTTCAGTTGTGGAAATGGGGTAAAATAGCTTTTCTTTTTTTCCTGTTTTCTTTCCACATAGTTGAATTAAAAGATGGATACTGCTCTGATTTTTGTTCACTAACCTTGAAGCAAATAATTTGGTCAGTGAAAAGATTTATATTTTCATTTTGATCTTGGTTTTCATTGTGGATGTGCTCAGGGCCGCAGTGTTTTCTGACTGCTGCTAATCTATTATTACATTCACTGCACATCTGCAGAGATGAGCTGAAAGATGAAGTTATTGATTGGACTCAAAGGCAGCCGAGCCACGTCGGATCACAAAGGGAGCGCAGAGCGTTTGCTCAAGAACACGACACCAAAGAAACAGCCGTTAGCAACATGCTTTTCCTGTTGAGCAGCAGAGGTGATATAACACTGCTAACCATTAACCACTGGAGCTTGTTTGTTCACTTCATTACATAGAAGATATGTACACTCATGTAGGATGGAGTTAATTGCTGCAGGATGTTCTAGTTTTCCAATCCACATTCAGATTGGGAAAGGTTAGACGCCAACACATGGAGTAATCGTGTGTGATTCTTTAAAATATGGTTCCTTTGTGTCTGTATGTTCTAGAAAGAGTCACCAGGGGGAATCCTTGCTCCATCTACTCCACTGAACCAGAATCATACCTGAGAGGGGGCTGATAGACAAAACTTCTTTACCAAACTAAATAAAGAAAGAGAGAAGGAATGAGAATATGAGGGGAAAACGACAGACGTCATGGCGCGTGTAGATGTGATCTGGAGCAAGAATTGTGGCGGGAAATAGAAGAGACAAGAAGAAGCATAAGAGTGGACTGCACATCTTTTTGCTTATTGCCTCTGAATGTAATTATTATTTTCTGAATAAGCATTGCAGTAGGTTTCCCTTGAAATATAAGCTCCAGTGGCTCCAGCAGGCAACGTAAACTAAACACTGAATTCATCGAACAACACTAAGAGCCTACAGCTGTGTTCACATCTCTCTAAGACTGTGCTTAGCCGCAGCTAAATGCTAATACCAGCATGCTACCAATGATACCGATAACGTGGGTGCTACAGAGTCAGTCAGGTGATCATCAAAGTCAGGAGGGTTCATCCTCTGAGGGCCATGAATGTCTGCATGCAATTTCACATCACAGTTTCTTTTTTCAGTCGCTAAATAATCTCAGAGCTGCTGCTTCTCCCTCTCCATTCTTCTTCCTTCACAAACATCTTGCCAACGTGTTTTTCAGCAGCGCTGCCTCTGAACAAAGCTGCTGTAATAGTTCCAGGACTCTTATCCTGCTTATCGACTTTCAATATTGAAAAGAAGGGGGTAAATATTTACCCACTGTTAGATGTGTGACTGGCTTTGAAATTACACAAGACCAACGGCGACGCTGTAGGTGGACCGCAGGAGGAACCTGGAGCATTTTGAGCAGTTTAACTAAAACTGAAATGTTCCCAAATGACTGTGAAAATTAAAATTAAATCTCTTAACGCTCTGTACGCAACTGCAGAGCGGACTGTTTGATGAGAAGAACCGTTCAAGACCAAACAAGAGGCGTCAGATGGACTCTCTTCTCATCGGTGGGAGATCTAGGCTTTGCCGATGACGTGGCCTTCGTCTTGTACACACACCAGAATACGCAGGAGAAAACCTGTAATTACAGCACCAAGATCAACCTGTAGAAAACAAGAGTTGATGATGCTAAACATCCCAGACCCCTCCACCGATCCAAGAAGACAGGACGAACCTGCCCGCAACTGAAGAGTTCACCTACCGAGGCAGCACCGTCAGACTCGACGGAGGAGCAGCCGGGCCAGAAACGCCAAGTCAGGGCCAGTACAGCACCAGCACCAGCACCAGCACCCAGCTGAGACTGTACCTGAGCTGTGTCCTGTCCTCCCTGATATACAGCCCTTTCCACAAGCTGTCAACCCTCTGCACAAAAAGTCTACCGAAAAAATACTGCAAGAATTTCCAACCAACATCTACTCCACCAGTGCAAAGAAGACAACATGGCCGCCGTCATCATGAGAAGGCGATGGAAATTGGGCCACGAAAAACTGCCCTTCACCGCCGACCCAAGAACACCTGGCGTTGGACAGTTGGACAGCAGAGGGAGAGCTGAAGATCTTGAACCACACCTGGGGGACTGCAAGCACACAGACCATCCAGGTGTGCTGCCCTTCACGGCACCAGGCAGGAAGTGCAGCAGGTAAGTTTACAGGAATGTCGGGGTTACATCAAAGTGGATCAGTGAATGAATTTGTTCAAATGTAGTGGAGCAAATGAAATAAGGACACAGCAAGGTTTACACCTATATCTTGTTTTAATCTTGAGAATACAAAAAATTATTTACTATTTATCAACTGTAAATTTCAGAGGAAGGTCTTATAAAAATACACTTCACCGTCCTTTAAGTGCTGATCATTTTCTGATGTTAATTCTATATGACAAAGAAAATAAAAAATCTAAAAATTAGCAACTAACTCTTTATAGTCACTGCAGAGAAACAAAGGTCTGTTAGTCAGGTAAATATGACATGTAATAAATGACCATTGGCTCAAAGTGTCGTCTGGTAAAAATAAGAAAACACTGAGCTGCTGGGTCACAGAGCGACTGCACTTTGACCAGTTTTAGACTGTAAATTATACATTTCATTTGTTTTCATTAGAACATACAGGATGACATTTCTAGTTCGCAGCTTTTCATTTGTTTCCATTGTTCAACATTGTTTTTGCCTTCATGCGTTAAATGTTTTCTTTTTTTCTTCCTCTTTGTTCTTCATCACGAATCTCCATCTACTCAATACCTTCACCGGACATTATCAAATGTCCCAAAATGGGGTTTAAATCCTTCATTGTGAATCCGAGCAGACTGAGTAATTCCACCGTACACACACACACACACACACACACATTCACACAGGACCACTTGGACACACAGGTTTGTGGATCAGCGTCGCTCTTCAGAAGGTTTTCCATCGGATGGCGGAGAGGATGGCGTGGATGAAGTAGAGCAGCGTGGCCACGTAGGCGAACACCTGACACACAGACACAGATGAATGGAAATGAATTGCTCTTTTGCACTGCCTGCTCTTAAAGGAGTAACCTGACATTTTGCAAATGTATACTAAAGTTATCATACAGACATGAAATCAGATTAGCATATTGAACTGCTGTAAACTCCATCGTAGCAGCTGGAAGTGACTTCATGTTATTTTGACATGTCATCAATTTGATGTGAGCAGTTTTTCAGAGGAATAAGAAAGAACAAAGAGTAAAATGCCTTTCAGTAATTGTCTATACCGTCTTGAAATCAGTTCTTACCACAGCGGCGATGTCAATCTGGTAGATTCTTAATACGCCTGCTTTATTCAAGAAGGTGATGTAAGCCAAAGCCACACCTGCACTGAGGTAGAAGAACGCTGCCAGGCCGTGGTAAGCAAAGTCCTGGACACAGAAAGGTAAAACAGAAATATTTAAAGACTCTTTCTCTTCTCTCTTTCTCTTCATTCCCCCATCTCATGAACTCTCCCTCTCTCTTACAGCGGCAGCCCAGGCGGAGCTGCTCTTATGGCCGTCGGCAGCGAAGATGATCATCCAGAGGAAGGTCAGGACGAAGCAGAAGACGGAGACGAACATCACCCAGCCCAGAGGGTTTGGTGGTTCCACGTGGGTCGACGCTACCAGGATCCAAACCAGACCGCCAAACACCTGCAGAGCGGAGGGCAGCTGTTATGGTGCGACAACTTATTATGGCCTAATGCCGTCACATTTAAAATCAGCGAAGTGCCTCTGAAGAGGTTTTAGTTAGGGGCATGTTTGCCTTTGTTGTTGAGAGATAAAACAGGAAGTCCGGCACTAAGATGATGACATGGTACACAGCTTAGACCACTAGGCGACGGAATGGCCCTTTTACAAGTTGTGTATAAACCAAACATCCCTCCAGAGACGCAAAGCGAAAGAGTGAAGCTTGAAATTAGAGGTTTCGTTTTCGAGAATGAGTTGAGAATATGCGCTTATGTAAGTGAAAAGACGATCTTCAAATAAGACTGTGACAGATGATATAGAGGAATGTGTCGAGGTGAAGTCTCAGAAACCGAGAGAGTTTGAAAATAGGTTTTCTTGTTTGAAAAGTTGAAAGTCAGCTCAGAGCCACGAACCTCCACTATGATTTCTTATAAAGATCATCAAAAAAAGCCAAGCACACGCTTTAAAAGTTCAAAACGTGCTCAGTAGTCAAACGTGTCAATGAAAAGAGAGCGAAAGTCTGAAAGGTATTTAGTTAGGAATAGAGCGAAGAGATTTTGGGAAAGAGTGTTTGGGAAAGATGTAAATCACAAAGTCGACAAAGACTCTCAGATATTTTCATGTGATTGCCCAAATTCTCTGCTTCTCGCTGTTGAGCCAAACCAAACTCCACCCATCTGGTGTCTGTCCAACTCCTCCATCTTCTCCTCTATTTATCCATCTTAAATGCCTCATTCCCTTTGTCTCACTGTGACAGTAACTACAGCACACCACTGAATCCTTCAGTCAGTCTGAAACATCTTTCTGAGATGCAGTGCACTAACTCCCTGAAGACGTGAAATCCTCCCAGCAGCAGCAGCAGCAGCAGCAGGAGGAACGTGTCTTTATACTCTTGTTTTCTGCTCCTCAGGCGGGATATTTTCCCCAGAATGACCTGCAGGCGTACTCTGGCTGGGCTGTGATCCTTTTATGATGTCACCTATTTAAAACCACCTCGGCCGTGACAGTTTAGAAACAGATGGAGGGAAGGATGCGGTGTGCGATGAGAAGATATTCCTATCACCGTGATTGTGGTGATGATGATAACTGGTGAAAAGACTCATGTTGGCTCATGCTTCAGTACCATTATTTTGACTGGGACAGGGTGTGATAGGTCACCTGTGTTGTTGATCAAACAGGACATGAATGCAGGCTGTGTAACAAAGCTACACAAGCATCAAATACTATTAGCAAAAAGAAGAATCACTGGATTTGCATTTACTGTAGTTTGAAGATTGAATTTTTCTATAGTAATCCCAGCAAGAATCAAGAACCAAGAATCAGCAAACCAAACTTACAAAAGAACAGGAAACAGTGTATAAAAGCAAAACTATAAAATGTAAAAGCAAAGTCAAAGAGAGAGACATGAAAAATTGGTGAAAATACAGCCTGTGAATAATAATTCAGCGAGCTCAGAGGCCACATCTCTCTGAGTGTTGACTAACACTTCTCTTTACTCACTATGTGTTGCGTACCTTACTCTGAGTTCAGGTTGGGTAGTGTTTAATCTGTCAGCTTGCTTTAGATGGAGTGCTAACCACATCCAAATAGTCTGAACTCTCTGGAATTCATAGTGTGATACTGTGTCACGCCCGGCTCAGCTGATCCTATGAGCATCTAAAATAAAAGTTTGCGAATAACCGGATCCAAATCTCAACACGGCCTCTCAGCAGTTTATGTGTCATGTCTTGATTTGAAGGTGGAGGTGAGGTTTTTGACGTGTAGTAGCGTTAAAGAGCTTCGCAAATGTTTAATGATGAAGGGAATCAGCCAGTCTCCCAGAAATTATGTTCATATTCTGCTTGAGTTTTTTTTTCCCCCCAATTACATGGGCAAGGTTTGTTTTTAATGAATGAAGCGCTGCAGGTTTTAACAGCAGCAGGTTTTGGTTAAATGTAAATAAACACGTCTGAAGTCACTGGGACATTTTTCTGTATTAAAACAGACCAGGATCTTTCCCCAACCGTGAACCAAGTGCTGTGAGTGTCTTTTCATGACCACAAAAACGTCTGATAATGCTGATGGAGAATGAAAAGAGTTTCATCATCACATCTGCATAAAGCAGCATACTGCAGCCGCAGGACCTGAACTGCCAAAGGAGATCATCGGTGAAGGTAAACTGTCGGGACGACCTGGAGCTTTAAATCCTCAACACAGCCCTTCCCTTAAACAGATAACAGCTCAAATAAACAGACATACTGTATAAACTGAAACACTTTCCTCTGTGCAGTTATTTTTACAGCCGTTATCTGAACAGTTTCTCTCTTTTGTCATCAGAGAAGAAGAGTTGGCCGCATTCTTTCTTAGATCAGTAGCACAGGAACAATACGAGTGAAATGTGAGATGTGAATGTCGGGGGGGGGGGGTCCTCCCATATGACGAGTATGTTTCGTTGTCTCCCATTTCACAAAAAAATGCGCCATTTTCTGTAAATTGGATCAAAATCAAGCTTCAGCTACACATTATATTTATTTGTAAATTTTAGAAATTAAAGCAAATTTTGGTATTTTTTTATTTAGAGATCAGCATCATGAAGTTATCACAAGAGCTGTAGCAGATGAATTCATATTCATATATATAATAGGTGCTGATTTTTAAAAAAAAATGCCATATATATACTGTTGCTCATAAAGTTGGAATAAAATATTTTTTACCTCTTTCCATGAAATGATTGTGACTGTGATTTATTTCATTTCACCTGGGTAATTGGAACACATAATGTAATCATTGCACCTGGTCAAAAGTGATTACTGATGCATTTAAATAGGAATAAACAGAGGATTGTGTCTGAAAACAAAATTATTCCAACTTTATGGGCAAGAGCGTTTTTACATTTTGAGGTAAAAAAAAATAATAAGTTAATTGTTTGTCCATCTGTCAGGTGTAACAATAACTGTTAAATACAGTGTCTACCAATTTTTAATATTTTATCATATTTTAGGACGGATGACATGTTTTACTTTTGAGATAATTACCATTTGAACAAAATTCATCGTTCATTGTTGCCATGAAAGAAATTTATGGCAGTTTGTTGCAATATTTCTTGTATCTAAAATACTTAAAAATCAAATCAGTTAAAACAAAAGAAGAAAAACCGAATAATTTTGAAAATCACAATTTCAAAATATGGACAGAATCCCTTCATAATTATCTTCAAGGTCAGCTGCTGTGTCCTCTTGTCGTTGTCCACTCACCAGTTCAGGCAGGTAAAATATATCCGGGGCCGTGGTGCATATCCCCAGTCCGCTGGGCAGGCTCCCCATTGGCTGAGCGGTGGTTGCAGCCATCTCTGCCTGTTCCTTCACCCAGAGAGTCAACGGTGAGCGTCCTGCCTTCTCCTCTGAACTAACGGAGCAGCGGCAGGTGTTCCTGCCCCTTATAGGAAAGCTAACACACAAACCTGTTCTGCTGCTGTGCGAGAGAGATGCCTTTCCCAAAACAGCTCTTTTGCACTGGACACACCCTTCATCTCACAGCACCCAAGGCTACCTGGTGGTTAATGTGAGCATGTGAGCTGGTGACCTGTGAAGGGATTTTGAAACAACCAGCAGAGGAATTTTTGTGCCCACAGGCAGCAGTAAAAGCTGTGCAGCTGAAATATCTCTGTTGTTACTGTTGGGTAAAGAAACACTTCACTGAGATTTAGGTTGCATGAACTTTATGGCCCTTTATGTTAGCAGAGTGCCAGCAGCTTCTGCTTGTATTGCACATAGAGGCTATAACAGGAGTTTCTTTTCAAAATAAATATCATGATTAGCTGTACAGGTTACTTCTTTGTCAGGTTCACGTGGCTTCACTTTAAAGCTGCACTAATCAGTATTTTTAAGTTGAGAGTTGATCAAATGAGTGCGGTGTGAATCATGTCACTTGTGGTCACCCAGCTCTGCAGTTCTCCTCAGTTTTATGGAGCATTTTTGCTTTTCTTCTGCTTATTGTTTTGGTTTTTATGACCAACAACTTTATTGTTTTCGTTCACACTGCTCTCATCAACCCGTTTCCAACCACAGCACATCAGCTAAAAAAGCTTTGCTAAGCCCGTTCTGCACCACCTGCCTACCTGCGCTAAATGGAAGACAGACACAGTGGAGCATGAAGAGCGAGCCAGTTCCCTCAGGAGCTGGTGGAGACCAAACCAGAACTAAAAAGACAGCGAGCTTTGGACTCACCAGAGCTAAATGACTTCAAATACATGCTATTGTTATGTAAATCAGCAACTGTCTGCTAACATGTTTGTCATATCAATGTTGTATTTACAGTTTATTCAGCTGCTCCAAAGATCCCACATTTTGGAAACAAATGTGTTTTAGTGATGCGCTGACACAATACAAGCTAATCTATAAAATTATGTAGAAAAATCAAGAAAAAGAGACATAGCTCATCTTGTCATGATATACTGTTTTACTCTGGATCGCTGTGTTGGTAAAAACCCAACACAACACAAATATTCAGTATTTTAATATTTACATACAGAGATAATTAAACCAGTGAAGTCACTGGGTTTGTGACTTTTTCACCTTCAGATATTGGATTTGTTGTATTTGTGGTAAATTCAGCTTTTTTTTTTTCTTTTTCTTTTTTTTACTGGAAACCATAAATATTCAGGTTTACTATCCAGAGAAAAACTTGCCCTGGGGCTATGTAATACCAAACCTATCTGCAGGTCCATTAACCTGTCGTTCCCTTTTACAGAGAGCATGGATGCAAATATCTTAAAGGCTCCATATCATTCACTCCACTCTGGCTCAGGAAAAGATAAGTGTTCTTTGTGATGCTCAGCACATAATACTTGTTTCACTTAAAGTGACGTTACACGGCTGTGACTGGACAGATTCCAGCGGCCTGATATTTTTTTAATCATGTGAACCAATCAGAACTAAGTCAAGCTGATAAAATGTGTGTATGTAGTACTTTAATATGATTTAAAATAAAGAGACAAACCTTCTGTAACAAATTTTCTGTGATAATTTGCAGATTGTTTTTTAATGATAAATGGGTGAAACTGATATGTCGGCGTAATTCTTTTGTCGCATAGATATTTTATGGCTTCACTCACTTATGTTCACTCTGTCAACATCTGAACAAACAGTAAAACTATCGTGTTGGAATTTCCCATTTATTAATTTCACATCAGAGATTCCAAAAAATACCATGAAGTGAAATCATCTCAATATTTACATGTTGAAATTTTTTGGAAGTTCTCATAAAAATGCAGACAACAAATCACGGGGAATCATTCATCCATACGTTACATCAAAAAAAAAAATGAAAAAAGGAAGAGTCGTTTTTCTATTTCTCTTTAGACATTTACCATTTGTTCATAGTAAACATGCAGGAAATAAAGGACGGTCCTATCTCTAATCTAGTCTTTTGAATATTCAAGGTTTAAGCTTTTGAATGGTAAAACCCTCCCAGGATTTATTAGTAATTTAGATTAGTGCTGAACTCACACTCGATCTGCTACTGCATGACTTTTATTTAGTGAAATGCTTCAGTGTCTCTTTGATTTGTAGAAGTGTTTACCACAAGCTGGACCTGCTGACATTAAAATGCGACTTCATCGTTGATCTGTAATACATCTTTACAAAAAACTGTGAACCATCTGTGAAGAAGTACACCAAGTTTTGGGCTCATTGGTCAGTAAAGTCACCAATGTTTTTTTTCTATAATTCTTATTTAATGAGAAAAAATACAGTACACTGGATGTCCTCATAATTTAATCTTAAAATATAATGATCCTGAATGAATTAGATCTGAGTTTTAATTAGTTATATACACCCATCCACCTTCCTCACGGCACATTTATTGCTGACTAACAAATTTGAACTCGAACAGGTTTGTTTGTGTATATTCTGATTCATAATGTACAGACTCAGTAATCAGACCAATGCACAGGTGACATTTATCAACAACCTGCTTGCTTTCGTTCAACATTTTTGTGACATTGGTTCAAAAGCATGAAGTCCTCTTTATCATTGAATTGACGTGAAAATAAAAAGTTATTTTGTGTTTAGTCCAATGAAAGCTCAGCTGCTTATTTGGATTCTTCTCTTTTCGGTCGTCCTGTTTCTTGGCTTGTAGATGGTTGTTTTGTTTTAGGACCTCTTCCATCGCAAGGCAGAGAAAATGGCATGGAGGAAGTAGAGAAGAGTGGCTATGTAGGACATCACCTGAAAACACAGACGGATGATGATGACGTGACAAATAGAGATGCTTTTTGATCGCATTTGTGTGTGTGTGTGTGTGTGTGTGTGTGTGTGTGTGTGTGTGTGTGTGTTTGACATCATACCACTGCAGAAATATCCAGTCGGTAGATTTTGAGTAATTCCTCAGAAGGAAATCTAGCCAATAGAGTCGCATTCATGAGGGTGACGTACGCCAGAGCCACCGACGCACTGAGGTAGAAAACCACAGCCACAAAATGGTAACCCACATCCTGCAGACAGAGAGAGAGAGATTGGAGAGAAGAGAAGAAGGAAAGTGGAGACAGGTGGAGGAAGGAGGAAGTTTATGAAAGACACATAAGAGGGGAGGGGGAAGGAGGAAGTGCAAGACACAGAGAGTTAGGGAAGGAATTAGTTCACCTGTTACAGTGTAAGTGTAAGACAGAGCCCTGACCTCAACTCCATCCATTACCTTTGGGACAATATGGAACTACAAGCCAGGCCTCATTACCCAGCATTACACCAACATACAAAAACATTATGATGGATGAGTGGAAGCTGTTAGCATCAATACTAATATCCCTAGATTGCAATGACTTGTGCATCCATCACATATTCTCTATACTCTCACATTCTTTAGGCCATGTACTCTATCTACTGTCAACCCTTTTTTAAGCCAATCAGCAGGTGGTGGGTGTGTCTAACCAGGGAGGGCCAGATGCTGCTCTGATTGGCTCCGCAGAGGAAGATGAAGAACCAGAGTGTTGTCACTACGAAGCAGAAGACGGACACGAACATCACCCAGCCCAGAGGGTTTTCCTGGGTGATTCGAGTCGATGCCACCAGGATCCACACCAAACCTCCAAACACCTGCCGGGGGGGAGGGGGGGGGCAGAGAAGAAGAGACAGAGACAGAGAAATGGATTTGAAATGTAGTTTTTGTTAGTGTACAGTCTCATGATAAATTAGAGGAAATTGTCAGTTTTCATCATGTACTCGCTCGGATCCACTTCCTATTAATACAGGTCATTAAGACAGAAAGTCCGTGAAAGCTACAGACATTATTCTGGCCTCCTGATGAATGTAAATCCAATATTCAAAGACTCCCTCTCTTCTAGCCTCTCGTTTTTGGTCTCTAATTACTCCTGAGGGAAATATCTGGCTCTTTAGCTGCTAACGCTCCACTGAGTTCATCAGCTAGTTGCTAACAGTGAGAGTGAACCACAACAGTAAAGTTTGATACATTGTTATTTGAATAATATACATTACAGCCACTTTAAAGCAGCACACTAGTGATCATACTGCGGTGCCATAAAGCTTGCAAGGAGGAACTTGCAAGTGATGGATTTAAGAATTATCATAATCAATGCAGCAGATATCAAAATATTTAGTCTCTAGTACAAAACACACACACACACACACACACATTCTCTGGTGTATTTCCACAGTCTTTCTCCTCCTTTGACAAACACTGATAAAAAGGTCTGTGATACTATGAATACTGGGTACGTGAAAAACATCCTTTACTTTTTATTGAGCAACAGGACTTTCTCTTAGTGTCATGAAACATTTTTGACATGTCACAGTAGGCGGTGGTGATCACAGGTGTGAATTATAAAATCATTAATTGCTGCTTCAGTTTCAGCTTCCTCGTCTGTGTTGTCGGGAACACCTGTGCTTTTCCTGTTCTGACAGGTCAAAATGTCTGCTGTGAAACAGGCCTATTGTGTCCCAGCTTTAACAGTTGTGCTGTACACACAACCCAACCCCCTTCAGGTGCTGCAACTCAACCAATCAGCATTAAACCTACAAGTATCAGGTGTGCAGGAGCAGAGCTCAAGCACGCACTTATCTCATCTCATTTGGGTCGGACGCAGCGCTCATTTAGAGTGAGAAACAAAAGACTTTTCTCCCTTCCCTGTTTTATACTCCCTGCTAAAAAGGGATTTTTAGGGGTGAATTTCCACAGGGATTTCCAATACAAATTTGTAAATAAAAATCATTCAGTCTGCTGTGCTGAAGTGAACCTAACATCAGAGCGAGAAACTGATCATCGGTACTACTTTAAAATGTTGGTCAAAGAGTTAATCTATTCACTCAATCATTTTATCCAGCTGATATCCTGACATCATTCTAGAAATTTAACTGCACTCTAAAGATCTAACCATAAGGTAAAAATAAAATAAAAGATATTGAGCCTCTTTTTTCACAAATGCAGTGAACACCAGGTTTCAATCAGCTGACGACAGACAGAATTTTGTAACTCGGCAACCAACATTCAGTCTGACCACATGCAGAGAGCGTGAAACGCCCTGAATTAAACAATACACCTGCAGGAAGTTTAAGTACCTTAAAGTCGGACATTTTCTCCTCTGTATGACAATATCACCTATAGCAAATGATTAGAATTTCAAATGAAGATCCGTGTGTTTTAATGTTGGTCTATGAAACATGAAAAATAAAATGGACGACTGAAATTTATACTTTTCGATCACGATCAAAACTCTTAATGATAAAAGTTAAAAGTAATGCTACAATTGGCTGATCCTCATAACTTCTGTAAAATATGTTTTAGCATAACACAAACACATTTTTTCAATATATAATAATAAATCCTTCATGTCCTAATAATCTAAGGATATGACACTGTTAATAATATTTGTAATGGGAAAATATCCTTTAAACTGTTTTATGTAAGTGATAGTTTTGCTTAGTTTTCTACTTCTGAAAAGTAGAAAATAAAATAGAAATTTCTGTAGAAATCAGTCATTTCACATCCGCATGTCTGTTAAACTGGTCACATTAAGTAATCAAACAGTTCAACCGCCTCAACCTTTCAGTGTCTATCGTTATGTAACAGGTCCTTTGATGGGAGAAAGCCACGTTCGTCAAATATCTGATTATGATGAAAACTTAAAACCACCTGAAGCACAGAGCGATGAGAGAATGAGATACAGAGGTGAGCACACGCCTGAAGCAACAGTACATTACTGTGACAAAACACATACAAACATTACTTTAAGCTGTTTCGTGTAGTGGTAGACTTTATCAGCAAATATTACATAAACCTTATCTCCACTACATATCAGACTTATCTAACTGCACACCAGAGGAACCTTATCCATTTATATCCATTCCAGGTTAAAGGGAATCAGCCTTTGTTCCATTAAATGTCCATAAAAAATCTAGTGAGTCCCTGAAAAATATACCTGAACATCCATAAACTGCTGCAGCATTATCTGTTGATTCACATGTTCAAACAATCCCTGCATCATCAATAAATAGCTAAATATGTCTCTTCTGGCATTTGGTATTTGGAACATATACATTTTAGATACATATGGAACATAGATATAGTGTATAGATACATATAGATCTGACAGAGAGGATGTTTTTGCGTGTGTTTTTAAATGCTTTGTGAAATCCTCTGTCTTGACTCTGCATTGTCACTGGTATCCATTGTAACTATTATGAAGCTGAGTAGTTCTTCCAGTTTCCCTTCATGCCAATAATCGGTGATCGTTTTATAGTCGAGAGCTATTGCTTCAAATAAGTCGAGCCTGATCTTTTGTGACACGCCTGACCTGAGCTTACTTTAAAATGTTTGTTTGAAATGAAGTCAACTCAAACAACATTCCATGTACAGTATTGTTCCATTGTTTGCAGCCCACTTTATTTCATTCATTCATTTATTCACATAGCACACATCGGCTCTCTGTGCTGCTTTTCTAAAGGCCGCTCTGCATTATGAGAAGCTTTGAGTTCAGGTTCATTTGTCTTTGCAAAAAGACATCAAAAACAGCAGAGTCCTCTTGTTGGCTTCGCCCTCTGAACTTTCTTTTGAAATATGAAATTGCTCCATCATTCAATTCCACTTCGGGGAAAAAAAAAAAGAAGCTGCCAAGCCTTTCCTCAGCCAGTTGCCCTGCCTGCCCTCTTTTTTTTTATAGTTGTAATGGTTTAGATTTACATTGCAAACTCAGACCAGTAAGCATTACCAGTACATTTCCATACTTGAGCTGCAGATCGTTTTATGTCATGAAAAGGTGTGCTTCAATAGAAAAGACCTGAGGCAGCAAGTAAACCACGTGAGGTGATGGTTGGTTTAGATTTACACCTCCCTCTGCAACTAAAGCTGTTTTTCCACCTGTATCACACAGATTTAATCTTCTGAGTTCCCTGTAAAGGAACTGCAGTCAGTCTGTTATTGTTCCTGAATGGTTCATTAAACAGCAGTTTATGTGTTGCATTCAATAATAAACTGACTTTTAATTGACAAAGTAGAGCAATAATATTGCATTCAATGAGGACAGAAACAAACTGACATTGATAAGAGTTAATGTTAAATCTTAAAAATGTAAACACAGTATTGTAGTTTGAGGATAACAGACATCTATTCCAAATATCTGTTAATAGCAATATCCAAACATTATTCAGTATATTTAAAATGCACAAGATCCTGTCACCAAGGAATTAAAATAAGAAAAGAGGCCTTCATTAAATTTTGTAGACCCACTTTTAAAAGAGAGATTTAAAAAAAAAAAATCCTACTGGAAAATGGTATTTTAAAATATCTTTATCCTCTTTTACAGGCAGTCTCTAAATTTTGTGTCAAGTGTAAAGTTTGTTTGCTCCTTTTCCCACTAATGCCTCTGCACATGTGGATGTGCATGTACTCATTGTTGCATTGCCACAAAGGTGACATTTTTTTCAACATATGAAATAAGTAATTATAACGTGTGACTGTAAAATTTCACACATTCAAACAGTGACATTATTGCACCATTGGACTCCTCATGTGCTGATAGAATACTTCAGCTTCAAGTGCTTCACTTGAAATTTTTTGCTTTTTGTTGCTAACATCGGCCGTGGTTGCTGTTTTTCTGTTTCTATGGAAACATGGTTTTTACTGGAAACACTTTGCCCTATGGAGATAAAAACTTATTATAATGTGGCAACAATCATTTAGTAGATGACGGGCAGGTAGGAGTTGTTTAAACTTGAACTCTAAACTGCTCATTAATCAGGTTCATCAGCTTTACTAGACCAAAACAAAACATATCAACACCTCCAGTCTTCACGGTTGGTTAGCTGGTCCTTCTCCTCTGTGTTGGCTCCACTGATCGAACACTATTTTAACAAGACAAGACTGATTCCTATCTGGATGGAGGCTTCGTTCAGTGGGGCAATTATGAGGAGGCAGATAATGAAGCAAGGAAACAAGATCCAAGATCTAATTGATGCTCAGTGAATGAGGAATAACAGAGGAGGATGAGCCAGAAGGAAAGAGGCAGGTAAAAGCAAATAGAAAGAGATCTTAGTCTACGACTCACTTGGGTATAAGCAGAGTAAAAGTGGAGAGACAACCAAGATTAAATGGGATAATATGTCAAACAGGAAAGAGGGAAAATACTCGATGTACAATTAACAAATAAGAAACTCACAAACTCAGGGATGAAGCACATGTCAGGCATGGTGGTGAAGATCCTGCCGCCTGTGGGCAGAACATCACCGGAGGTGGTGGAGGCCATAGTCCAAAGCACTGTGTGTCTGTGTATGTGTGTGAGATTTCCTCTAGAATGAGATGTGTAACCTGTTTTAATCTGCTTTTTAAAGGCCATCTCCCCCCCCCACACCTCTCTCTCTTACTGCACCTCCCTCCACCACACCTACCCATCCATTCCTCTGCTCGAAACTACCTGTTTGACAGGTGGATTTTGGGTTTGTTTGTGCAACAGGATGTGTCTCTCTCTCTCTCTCTCTCTCTCTCTCTGTCTGTGTATGTATGTGAGTTTTTGTGCAGTTTTCTTATGTGTTTGTGTGTGCCCTCACATGTTTATAGTTTTAGTGTGAGACAAGAACGCTGTTTACATGCATACAAAAAAAGTGATTGTGAGGCAAGTAATGCAGCGTTGTCATTGGTTATCAAAGGAGCTGCAGGTGAATGTCATTCACTATGGCCATGGTTAAGACATTAACTTAATCAGTGCTAAAATTAAAGCACTCTTTCCAGTAACTGGACTTGGCATCAGTTTGGTAGCCGATTTAATTTGAATTTTATTGTGCATCATCACACCCAACAGTAATCTGTATTTAGGCCACTGAGCTCAAAGTATAATCATAATAGTGACCTGCAGTGTTTGAGGTTTAAAGTTCGTTGTCTCCTTTTCCCAATAAGGCCTCTGGATGTGTGGATGTGAAGCATTTACACAAAGGTGACATTTTTGCTACATACAGAATAAGTAATAAGTGTGACCAACAGTAGCATTAGCACATCGTGGACTCTTCAACTTCAACTTCAACTTTTTATCAGTCTGTATTTAGGCCTTTGGCAATGACATTTATCTTGAGTCTTTTTCTTTCAAGAGTGATTTTCAAAATAAGCTTGACACATTTTAATTTCTATCATAATCATGTTGAAATAATCTGACTAGACGTCCAGATTATATATAAAAAGAAACACAATATGATTGTTGAATAAAATTGCTCAAATCAGCTCCACCCTGATTAGCTTCTTAAATGTTGACGTATACATGACGAAATTTAAATATTCAAAGTAATAAATGAAAGTCGTGAATTTTTAAGAAAGGATTTCCAGCGTAGTTTACATTTATCTATAATCTTAATCCTAATCTCAAAAAGATTAGGCTCTGACACCAAACCATATGACTGACCTTTGAAAGGGTCTTGTTGTAAGTTCCTCTGCTGCCGAACATGGTCTCTAGCCAGGAGCTGGTCGTGGTGATAGTTGCTTGACAAGAGCTTCGGCCATCATGGTCTTCATAGTAGAAGAGGTTGTAATACACTCTATAAGCAGTGCTACGTCTTCAGGGCAGATTGGAGGCTACAGTGAGTCGCCATCGGAAAGTGAAGAGACAGCCTGTGCTAGCTGGTTAGCGCGCTAATTTGAGAAGAAGAAAAGAAGTGATAGAAACAAGATAGTTAACATTGGTGTTACTTTCCACCGTTGTAGATAGCTCCTGGCGAGTGAATGAATTAAGTTTGATGCTGAACTCACAACACTTCCTCCAGACTGGTAAGTAAACAGCTGTTAAAGTTAAGATATGTAGCACTAGCAAAACTTACAAATAACTCCCTTTATCAGCTAAATGGGAGCCTGAGTCTGTGTATGCATGTGTTTCTATAGGAACCCACTGACCTGCCCTCCTGTTAAACTGATGGGATTTGTTTCACCAGCTTTCCACTGGAACTGAAATCTTCAAGGTTAAAATAAATGAACGGAGGCAGAGAAGGACGGTCTGTTTGGTTTGTTAACGCAGAGTGCACATGTGGCTGAGCAAGAGAGCATGAGGGATGAGGACAGTAAGAGGATGGGATGGGTAAAGACAAACAGGGACACACAAGTAGATGAAGTGGTTTGGAGTGAAACGAGAGCAAACAAAGCAAAATTGTTTTTATATGGATTAAACAAAAGTGGTATAAGGTATTGATTGGTGAGCTTTAGATGTGCTGGTGGGTGACTGTGCTTGCAGTTTCCCACTGTTTCCAGTCTTTGTGCTAAGCTAAGCATCATATTTACTGTAAATGCATGATAGCAGTATCACGCCTCATATCTAAATCAAGGTACAGAAGCAAATAAATACACAGTATTTTTCCAAATTATTGATATTACATTCTGTTTGTTTGTCAGAGATGGCAGATCAGTCATCTGTGAGTCATATGTGAGTTATGTGAGAGGATGAATTAGTCAGAATGTGCTTTTTGTCTGTATGTGTGTCGCCCAGTCCAACTGACAAACACAGCATGATGGTTTCCAGGCTGAGGGATTAAACCTCAGGACAACATACAAACCCCATTGTGTGGGTGATGATGACTTTCAGACTTTTCATCTCATCTCATCAATTCCTCTGCCCAAAGTAAATTATAACATTCTCACCCACACACAAATTCAGTGACGTACATGAACACACTAAAAGAGTGTTCATTGAACGTGCTCATGTTTTTGGCCAACGGTGAACTGACCGTATCTGTTTGCAGCTGGTGATCATGAATGTGAGCTTCATAGATGGCGGAAATGGACCAAAAAGCTGTTTGCCAACCGCCAAAAAAAAAAAAAAAAAAAATCAGAAGAAGAAGAAGAAGAATTGGGTTTTATGGCAGCACCTGCAGACTGTATACAGCACCCAGCATGGAGCCTGTACCAACCACTATTTTTCTGGAGGTCAGCAGCTGGAGGTTCAGGGTCTAGAGTTTCAGTTTCTCATCAGTTTGGGACTATGTGTTGACGGCTCCCAGACCCCAGTGCTTGACATTGTGCTTTATAGGTTTCAATAAAGGTTTTCCAAGTTGTGTTTTTTTGGGGGTTTTTTTGTAAGTCAGAGTTTAGAAATGACAGGAAACGATGTAGCTTCATGCTCAAATTACACATAATCTTAAAGTCAAACAATGTCTCTTTCATTTCACTTCAATGTTGAACCTCTGTGTTTGTGTGTCTTGGTTCGCTGTATTACCAGCTAGCTGCACTATAGTAGATATTTTAGAAGCGGACAGGCTGGCCTCTTGTAAAACATGCAATATCTTGTGATTCATTCTAACGATGCACTTGACTAACTAGCCTTTTTAATATTGTGCAGTGAGTCATTCTGAGGTTGAACTTTTATGTCTCTTTTAGAGGGAGAAACTGGCTTTGTTTTGCAGATGCTGACACACCCTGAGTCAACCTGTTTCTCTGTTAGCCTCTGCTATGGTCACTTAAGTGTGTTTGGAGACCTTCCTCTGTTGCTTCAAAGTGAAAGGTCACTGACACCAAAACGGAGAGGGGGGTTGTTCCTGCTGATGACATGATCCAGCCAACTTGACATGCACCTGAGTGCAGAGGGATTTTCCGGAGCCCTCTAGCTCATTATAGGCATTACATTTGCTGTTTAAACACTTGAGAATAAGAGCGAGAGGTGGGACGAGATGCCCTTCCTATTTCTGGCAGCGACAAGACAGGTTGGTTTGGATTGAAAGAAGTCAGTCCAGGAAATAAGTTATGATGTTTAACTTAATTTGGAAGGATGCCCAGTTAGTCACCTTTTGCCAACAGTTGAATGACCACACCTCCCAATGTACCCTCAGGGGTTTTTGAACATGCTCTGGTTTCATGATGCAGTATTCAGATGTCTCAGATGAGGTAATGTTCACGTTAACACTAGTTTTACAAATTTTAAAGCATAAATATTAATAAAGTAGCATTTGTAATGAACTATAGAAGATGACACAGTCCTCCGACAACACCATTCAAAGATTCCACTTCTACACTAACATTTAGCAATTTTTTTCCAACATCTATAAATATATAAATGTGCAGTTTACAGCCCCAAAATGGCTAAAAATGTCCACCTGATGAATGAAATGTCAATACTCTCCTTGGTTGTGGTTTGTTCTCCACCAACTCCTGAGGCAAATATCATTTTCTTTTCCAGACATATTCTCTCCAACAATTGATTTCCTTTACAAGCTTGAATATTCAACCATGTAATGTTTAATGTTTTTTTTTGTTTGTTTGTTTTATCTCACTTGATGAAATATAAAACTATATTAGGCTCGTCTTAACCACCAGACAAACACACAGAGAAACTGGGTTATACTCACCAGACAGCCAACAAGCTGCGTTTGGCCAGTGTTAAGAGAGACACACATTGGACTAGCTCTTTCATTATGGATCTGGTTACAGGCCTACACACACACACACACACACACACACACACACACACACACACACACACACCTATATGTACACAAATAGCTCCATGGGAACCCCTGCCAGCTCTGCCAAAATACAATGGCTATTTGTCAGTGTGAAGTGTAGTTACACAATGTAACACACATACACGAACACTGATAAAGAATGCATTGTGTTTTGTATCCTGAATGACAAATCCAAATATTTTTCATTCACAAAAGGAGAAAGAAAACATTTAATGTCCCTGGACTTCTCTCCACCAAACTGAGCAGGACGACCTGATGGTCGGACAAACTGAACTTCAACTTGAGGAACCAGGCTCAAGCCCTTTGTCTTTGTAGTGAGTATGTGATTTGCTGAATCCCTGCAAGCTCCAGGGGATCTGCTGAGTAGCTGACCCTGACCTTTGACCTACCCAGGAGGATGACAGACACAAATGCTTTACAAATATTGAACATCCTACATGTCAGAAACATAATCCTGACTGTTATTGGCATTAGAATCTGTATTACTGCAATAAACGTAGCATGTCTTATTTTTTTGTTTGGTAATATACTACCATTATTTTGTATGATAACAACATTCAGATGTGTTGCTTGTTGTTTTTTTATTTTGTGTTCCTGTTCATAGAACCTTTGACTACAGGTTGTAATGGATGGATGTTTACTTATTCAAACAAGGAGAAAGAAAAAAAACACCTTGGATCCTCTTTCCAGCTCAAGCCCAACTATACTCAGGAAACTCACTTTCCTGCTCAACTGGTCTTAACCTGCTCTCGGGCCCCCTCCTCCTCCTCCTCTTCCTCCTCCTCCTCTTCTTCTTACTCCTGCTCAGACACAATAGGTCATCTGGGGCACAAAGAGAACTGGGCGAGAACGTCTCAACGTTTCCAGGTGACAATAGCAGTCACGTCTACACTGAGGTTTCTTGTCCGTGGTTGAGTTTCTTTGCATTACACACAAGATTGGTCGATGTTCAGTGATGTGCAGAAGGGTCGCCTTATAAATCTTGCCTCTAAATTGCTGTACTGTCTTCACCAGCAGTTATGAAGGTTCTACCATTTGATGTGACCGAGGATTAATAATGTCAGGTTTTTGCACATTCCTTAGATCTTAAAGGAGTGTTAACTAACTCACACAAAGGACAAAGTGTCTTTAACAATGAAGAGGAAAATGAGCAAATGCTGAAATGAATGCCTGATGAGTCAAACCAATTAGAGAGCGGTGAGGGTGTGACTCTGCTGTGAACAGCAGTGTGGAACGGCGTGGTTTGTGCTTGTTAATGTCTTGTCAGAATTTGATAATTTTTTGAAATTTTTTTACTCTTTGTCTCCATAACTATCTAAGATCACAGACATTTTTGGTCACACTCATTGCTATTGATCCTTTTAAATGATCTTTCAGGTGTGTTTTCCATCTCTTTGTTTATTGAAGCCTTTATATATATATATATATGGATATATATATATATATATATATATATATATATACCCAAAAAAGGCTTCAATAAACAATATATTTCTTAGATTTTTCCGCTCAACATTAAACACCACTCTCTGGTCACCATGCCAACATCGCAGGAATGTGGAAATGCAGGATATGTAATATTATTTAGCAGGAAACACTGCACCAAAGAAAGGCTTTCTGTGTGTGTGTGTGTGTGTGTGTAGGTGTGTGTGTGTGTGTATGTGTACACACTTAGCAAGATGACTTAAGTTCTGGACCTGAATTATGAAGGTCTTTTCAGGGGCATGAGGACGTTTTAGTCAGTCCTCAGTTTTACAAGAAGTCATTTGTAGGTCAGAGGTTAAGTTGTGGGTTTTGTGTGTTAGATTTAAGGTTAAGGTAAGAGCCTTTGATTTCCCACTGAAGGGATGTCCACATAAGTAGCTATATGCTCATGGGTGTGACCAAGTTTTCTATACTCTTAAAGGAATAGTTTGACACTTTTTTGGCAAATACTCTCTTGCCAAGAGCTGGATGAGGTAGATGAGAAGAGCAATACATCTCTAAAATCTATACAGTAAATGACCCTGAGCAGCTGGTTAGCTTAGTTTAGCATAAAGACTGTTCCAACATTTTTAGACTGCAGAGATTACAAGTTCATGACATTAGAAGAGAGCACTGGTGTGGTTCATGGATATGGATCCAACCAAGTTACGATGACACAAGTACCTACACCCTGCTTATACGTTTTGAAAACATTCCTCGCCATCTTAATATGATTATGGCCAATGCAAATCTCAGTCTTATCAATTTAAAAACTGACTTTTTATACTGAGCACATAAAAAAAGATAAGATCTGTCCGAATCACAACCCGTAGGGGATTTTAATTTGCATGAATGTAATGTTAACAGTTACAATGTTTATCACATATTGTTATATGTTGAACTGTTGTAGTATTGTTATTATTACCTGAGATGTGAAACCACAAGTGATGGACAAAGTGAGCCCGTCTGTGCTCACACTGATCCAACCTCTCACTGCTCCTGTTCTTTTATACCAGGCTATAAAAAGACGACAATAGACTAATTATTAACTGTGAACACTGCTCTTATGCCCTGTAACTCTACACTACACACACACACACACACACACAAAGACAAACACACACATGACTGATGTTGAACTAATGGGTGGAGATGAATGAAGCAGTTCAATGACCAGCCAGATGACAAGGTTGAACAAAACAACTTGACAGCAAGTGAGTCTGTAATAAATCATGTGATTTTAATAGTTTATTACAAAATAAAACAATCTGACAGAAAATAGCAGTTTCAAAACATGCTAGTAATGCCACTGGGTCTAATATTACAAAAATCTACTTTGCGTTTAACAGGAGCAAAGTGAACTCAATGATTAGATTAAAGAGGCGTCTTTGTTGATAATGTTTTCATTTGCTCAACCTTTATTTTACACCTATTCAGGCAACTTAACAGGCTCATTAGCCATGATCAGTGTCTCATGTTATCACAAGGTACACAAAGATGTTTTTGTGTATGTACTGCATGTTATGAACAGTATGTGTTAGCATAAATACTCACTAGAACAGCAACTGTCTATTAATCCACACCTTAAAATAGTCCCCAACAAATGCAATGTTTACATCTGATCGAGTAACATTTTCTATGAACCACAGTGCCCAGGTCTTCTACAAATGTATTTGTCTTTTGTTTTTTTAATTCAAGTATTTATTCATGATACATTTTTTAAAGCTTTACATCTTCAGAAGGAACCAGTGGGCTTGAGCCTGAGAGCCACAGACAGCGTGAGGAGGTCAGAAAGTACTGAGAAATGAACTAACCTATTGCTGGTTTTTGCCTTTTTATGGGATTTATTCACAATAACAAAGAAATAGAACATTGCCATCTTCATCATTTAAGTTTACACATTTTAAAAATATATTTATGGCACATTCAGGGGCTTTATTCTTTTTAATAGACCAACTGATGTCTAGATACAATTACTTTAAAATTTCAATCAAACTCCAATTAAATTATACCTTCCCTCTGAGGGATGTAATGTAATTGTTACCGCGCTACATGGAGGAGGTCGAAGGTCAACTCTGTGACATCAAAGGCGAGATGAGGGTGCATGGGGTCGACAAAGACCTCTGGACCCCCTGATTGGCTGGTGGTGTGCTGGGTGTGTTTGAGAGAATCCAGGGTGGCGTAGATGACCCTGGCCCGCTGCTCCTCTGAGGGAGGGTCCGCCCAGCGATGACACGGCAGCGAGGGCGAGTGAAGGAGGAAATAGACGGACGACATGTAGACTTTAACAAACTCCTGTTTCAGAAAATTCAGGTCTCTCTGCAAACACACAGGGAGGAAGAGACAGTTTATAAACACACCTCATCAGCAGCCTGCAGTGACTGGATGCACTGGATGCACATTCAGGGAGGAACACACACAAACACACTTCTTGGAAGAGAAAAGCCACCAGGTTACTCATGCTGACATCACCCTCTACAGGTCTGTAGTGGTTTTACACACACAAACACACATCTCACCTTCTGTGCTCTGCTCATATTGGTCTCAGCATCCAGCCAAGCACCCTGAGGGAAAACATCAGATCCTTTTATTACCAAATCATTGAGTGATATATTCAAGATTTCCTTCTTATTACACAGATTGGATGAGTCCAGCTGCTTGAAAACCAACTAACCCTAAAATATTTTTTCTTACTGAGGGCTTCAGAAGACTTTTACTGACTCGTTTTGGTCTAAATGCTGTTTCAGTGGGAGAAATGCTGAATACTGGTCATTCTAGGTATTTGATACAAAAAACTACAATACAACTTATATAGCAACAAACGAGTAGGAATATAACAATTCCTGCTATAATCCCTTCAGAAAAAGCAACCAGGAACAAATATGACCACGATGCCCTCCCAACTGACCCTGAGGGCATCCAGCAGGTCTGGTTGGTCCAACAGCACAGGGAAGGTAGAAAGTATAGGACTGCATATCAAATCTGAAACAGACAGAAATGTTATTCAATTGGTTTTTCTGAGAATTGTGGATGTCTGCAGTTTGAAAAAGAGGCATGGACGTGCGTGTTCTACCTGCATTCTGCATGGTAGGCCTGTCCATCAGTAGTGTGTCAGCTAGCAGCTGTCTGTGTAGAGCCAGCAGATGGACACAGCTCAAACAGTGCAGCAGAGTGTCTGGCAGGAGACTGAAGGGGGAAAAAGTACTTGTTACTACGCACATCTAAATCTGGTAATGATTATATACATATATATAAAATACTGAATTAGATCACATAATCTACTGCAGGTGTTCAAGCTCTGTTGTAGTTTTTTCTTTCTGATCCTCCCACCTGAGCTGCGTTCTGGTCCGGCTGTTGGCTGATTTCAACTTGACAATCAGTTTCGGCTGCCGCCTGGCCTGAAGCATCTGCTGGAAAACACCAGTTTGAGCTGAGAGGAGAGGAGAGGAGAGGAGAGGAGAGAAGAGGAGAACGGAGACTGAAATCTCTTGTTTTTCACTGATTGTTTGTCTGATTGTGATCTGATGGGAGGAAACTTTTTGACTGGACTTGTGTTGAGCTCTGCTGTGTCTTCTTACATCCTCTGGTGACTGAAGCCTCCACTGCTACATCCTTCTCGTAAGGAGTTCCACCGTTCACTGGCAGCTCATAGGTCCTACACACAGATTAGATAAGAAGTTTAAGTATTCAGCGCAGAGTTTAGTCTGTCCCTTTTTTTAAAACACATTATTCATGCCTTAGGTAGGTGTGGTCAGTTTCATTTTCAGTTATCCATCCATTAATTTTTCATATGAGACATGCATATAAAAATGAATGAATGAGTGATGTGTGTTTGGGTGATTTCATATTTATGTGTGGCTCTAACTATGTGTATGTCTGTCTATTTACAGTGTACACATATTCTTTGTATGTATAATATGTAGCAGGCTGCATTAATGAATACATGTAAAAAACAGTGTTTTTATTATTTTAATGTATATAAGACTGTGTGTGCATTGTATGCACTGATATATCTGCGTGTCTACCTGTTGGGGAGTGGACTTCCTGTGTCATCGGTCAGTTTGAGGAAAGCCCAGCCACAGCTCAGGTCTCCTCTCTCACCTGTAGACTAAAACACACACATAACTACAGATCGGACATGGTTCCTTCAAAAACACTCTCTGCTTGTCCATTTTTAGAGAGGGGATTTGCCTTTTCTTGTCTTCCATCACAACAAAAAAAGGTCTCAACAGTGGTTTTCCATTTCCTGTGTGTTTCTTTGTATCTTATCTGCACTGACTTAATCGCATCATGTGTATCTGAATGTGTGTGTTGGTTCTTACATTCCGTATAAAGGTGACTCCCAGTTCAAAGAGGATACCGAGGTCAGGAGAAGTAGAGTTGCAGCGTAGGAAACAGTCTCCATCTAGGAGGCTGGGCAGGATACCTGCCATCTAGAGCAAACACACACACAAACACTTGTGCTGGATTTCAGATTTGAGTTCAGCTTTAAGCACGAGTTTTTGTGCCAGAAGTAGTTTGAGCAAAGTTCAAATCACCTGAACAGACAACAAAGGGAAACAACAACAGTGTGTGATTCCAATCTTGATAATGCTGCAAACATACCCTGGGAGAGAAGCTCCAGGTCTTGGGGCTCCTGGAGTTGTAGGTTGCCCTCACTGTGTGGATGTTACTTAACACCTGAAACACAAGTAGTCATTTAAAAAAAAAAAAAAAAAAAAAGCTAGGATGGAAAAAGAGAGTTAAAAGTAGAAATCGATAAAGAAAGAATCTGATAAAGAAATCGAGGAGATGAATCACCCACTACTTTTTGGCTATTAACTAATAAATAAAGTGTATTTATTAAACTGTTTCCATTAAACAGAGACTTGGGTAGGAGGGAGGTAAGGAAGTACAGCTGTATTTACAACATAGATACCCCTGATACCTGAGTTCCATCAAAGGCACAGAGGCGGATGTGTCTGCTGAGGACCTGAACTCCAACCCCAGGAGTGGGAATCATCCTGCAACTCCACAAAGTGAAACAAACACACGTCCGGACCTGCCGAGCACGAACCTACACGACAAGTTCACAGAAAAGTGAACCGCTTCAGTCAAGAGAGTGTGTTCATGACACAAGAAACTGAAAGAAAACTGAAAGAAAGAGAGACTGTCTCACCCTGCCAGTGTCTGGGTCCAGGAAGAGGTCTTTAAAGGAGAGCTGTGATTGGCTGAGCTCAGGCTGAATATGGTGACTTCCTCTGTATTTTACACCTAGAAAAAGAAACGTGTGATTTTTTTGCCTGTTAATCATACAGTATTTTTTAAAGAAGAGCTAAAGTTACTAACAGTGACTGACACCTCTCTAGTCTCGCTCCCTCTGCTTCTCCCCGCATGATTGCTACTCTTTAATTGTTTGTAAAAACTAATATAGTAATAGTATAGTAATATCACTAATAAAGCTAATGAAATGTAACATGGGGAGAAAATACTAGAAACAACCTAATAATAGAATTAATTATTAGGTGTAATTTTCTTACAAACAGTTCAGAGCTGAAATGAGTCAATTATTCAAGAAGCTTGTTGACAGAAAATTAGACAATTTTGTTATCAAGTAATTATTAGCTATAATTAATATACAGATAAATTATAGTAATTTTACGAGCAAAAATATCCTCTGATTTCAGCTTTTCGTTTTTCGAGCTTTTGAGAGTTGGACAGGCAAAATGAGAAATTTGAAGTCACTGGGACTCTGTGAAATTGTAATCTGCATTTTCACAATTTTATAACATTTTATAGACAAAATGATGACTTGATTAATTGAGAAAAAAGCCATAAAATATTTAATTGATGATCTTCTGAATCTACTGACTGAATGCTTCTAACACAAGTGACATACTTTATTTAATGACCGTGTTAATGTGTGTTTCTGGGAACTATGAGTGTGTGTATAAGCATGGTTGGAAAAATATAGTCCTTCTAGACTTTGTTATTCATGTCAGACTGTACACACTTTCATACTGTAGTTACCACATGGGCAAGGCAGCATGTCAGACCAGAGACCTTTCACCTATATGGTGTGTGTTTGTTAGAATGTATAATGACCTTCATCCACCAGCAGTTTGTTGAGAGTTGATGGTCTGAATCCTGATGGTATAGCCCCCATGGCAGACAGCACATCCGTTGCATCAATCTGTCACACACACACACACACACACACACACACAGTAAAAAGTCTAAACATATTGAATATACAGTATTTGTTGACAGGTAAATGATCAGTGGCATCAGTTCCAGTTGTTGTAATTACAGAGGATGTAGTTTTACCTCAGTCAGAGCCTTTCTCACAGTGGACCAGTTGGAGTGTAAAGCTCCGCTGTCACAGAACAAATGACAAGGATGAAGTTACTATCATTACTAGTTTCAAACCAAGATTCAAATGATTGATATTTGGTGGTTGTTGGTCATCTGGATAAATGCAGGCAACATCATCCAACTCGGACAAGGTCCTTTTGATCAAAGACTCACAATAATCTGAGGAGCACTGATCCAAAAACATCTGGAAGCTAAACGTCATTAAATTTAAAACATAAATTTTAAAGTTAAACCTCTGTTTGTCTTGGGCATCGGTCAGTTCTTCACCATCTTGCTCTTCATCCTCCTCTGACGACTCCTCCTCATTTTCATCATCACTGTCGTCCTTTTCATCGTCGTCATCTTCATCATCTTCGTCTTCATCGTCAACACCAGGGCCAATCTGAAAAATTAGTGGTTTTAACTGCTTAAGATCCCTATAATTTACAATAGCACACTACAGTTACTTACATTTAACATTAACAACACAGGAAGGTTTAATATGTTTGAATATAAATGGGCCTCTGTGAGGATGATTTAAAAAAAGAGCCATTTATAATGTTGTTTCCCTGTGCACTTTTGTGCAAGTTGTGTTGAGTGTGTGGAGACAACAAATATGGTTAAAAAATATGGAAAAATGCTGAAAAAGCTCAAAACATTTTCAATATACATCATACACCATGTTTGCAGTTTCATGTTATAATAAGATGTACTTTAGCAGGTTGTGTACCTTCAGGTAGGTTTTTGGAACCACTCCTCTGTTGCCTTTAGTGTCCTGGGCAAGCCACCATCCATCTGCTGTCTTCCTGATAATCCTCAATGCCTCCCCCCTCTTAAAACAGCAGGGAATTGAACAAGTCATGTAACTTCATGTTAGTTATGAATCACTAACGAACAGACTTGTTAATTATTTTTTAAATGAAAAAAAAAACAATATTTTGAGACCAAAGGAGATAAAACTCAAGAAAAGACAAGAAAATCTAATCTGGGAACAAGCCTGTCTACACAAAATAAAATACAGTGAAATTACATATTGCAAAAGTACTTACATCACTTGAAATCATCTGATTTATGAGCAAGAGTAAGAGGTCACTTACAGAGCATACACCCAGGTTCAAGCAAAGACTTTTAAACTGAACAGGCATGCCCTAAGAGAATAATTTCTCACCCACTCCACCTACTTTGCAACTTTAAAAAGACAGTATGAAGAGAGTAGTAAAGGAGGGGGTTTGGAGTTGAACCAGTTTGTTGGAAGAGGAAACTGTTGGTTATCACAGCTCAGGCTCTCCTTCTCATTTTAACCACTTCGTAGACCCCTGCATGTTGTTGACATGTCACCTCGCTGTGCTTTATCTCTGTCTGTGAAACAGAAAGTACTTCACCTGAACAGACAGATCTCCTTCCTGCTGTCCTTTGAAATCACTGAGGACTGTGTAGATTCGAGGATCTGACTGAGAGGGTGGTTTCACAGCTCGGTTCTCATTCTCATCCTCATTACCATCATTATCAGCATCGTCTTCATCATCATTATTACTGTCTTCGTCATCATCATCCTCGCTATCTTCTTTTGAAACATCGCTGTGGATAAATACATGGTAACATGAAAACATATTTTTAAATTTAGGATGACACATCAAACTATTGTTTTGCTTCTTTTTTACAACCTAAAAAAATTGAGTTTCAAAGTTCAAATGCACTGGATGTGATAAATCTCAACTGATGTTTCAATTGTTGTAAGGAAATTGAGCCACTGCAGTCGGGAATATGGTACTCTTAACTGGATAACAAAGAGAAACAGTGTTGTACATAAAACAATCATAAATGACCCCCATCATATCGCTTTTTTCTTTGCAGTGAGCACACAGGTCACTGACCCTGCAGCAGTGCTCGGTCCTGGTGGTGAAAGCTCCAGAGAGAGCGTATTCAGACGCTCCAAGATGTTCTGCAGTCGTCTCTCCTCTTCCTGTTTCCTCTGATCGTAGTTTCCCACCGGAGCTGGCTCATTAGCCTAGAAGCAAATCATACATTATTTAATCCATAACATAGAAGGTTGTGTTAGGTTTGTTATATTCCAAAGTTTCTCTTAAATTTAACTGAACAAATTACCTTAATGCAAACCTGAAAACCTCATTATGACTAAAATGTTGTCTCAGAGATTATAATCAGAGTAAATTTATTTGGGGCCATAAAAAATGTCAATTTTCAGGATACAAAAAAATAATATTTGTGAAGAATGGTATTGCTTGCTTGTATTTTTCATCATCCAAAAGTTGAACTGAGTAATTGTAGAACTGTACTTGTTGCAAAGAAGTTACTTAGACTTCGGCATAATTCATGTTTACTGACAGTATACAGCATTAACCTTCGTTAGTTTCATCAGTGTCCTTAGTGTCTTCTCAGCCGACATCTGCAGGTCTTGACATCTGTTTGGAATTAGACACATTTAAAATCATACCTGAAAGCATTCGTGAGAAAAATCACCTAAATTTTAACAGGATGAAAAAAGCAATAGAAATAAAAGCTGAGTGAAGCCATGTCCCTTCAATAGTTTCAGAGCTTGTCCTTGTCTTAACTGGAGTTACAGTTTAGGAAGCACTGCTGTGGCTCTGTCAGAGCTGTTTACCTCCGGAATGCCTCTTCAGTAGATCCACCCTGACTCTGCACATCCTTGACCAGACTATCAACCTTGGTTGGAGAACCATGAGAAAAAACAACAATGAATACAAGAATATTGATACCAATGTGCAATTGAGGTTGAACTGCACACATACATTTTACAGTGTATATGCTTAATGATACCTGAGTCATATTTTTGTTGCTTGTGGAAAACAAAATAAGCACAGATCATCTATAAGCCTGTCTTTGGTTAGTCTCTTAGTTTCATACGTTACTTCAGTGAGCAATGTAAACAAAAGTTGTGCTGTGTGCAAAAAAAAAAAAATTTTTTAAAATGTGCAAGCCCATTACAGATGCTATGCTGCAGGCCAGTCTTCATTTAAAATCTGGCCTTTTAATGTTTCCCTGGTTCTTGACTGAGTTCTTCATTAAACAAGTCATAAGGTACTTTACCTTAGTGTACTCTACAAACTTCGGCATAAACTTGATCCACCAAAAAGCACTTGCTTTTAAGAAATTCTCAATTTTTACCTCTGTTTACTGAAATAAACGTATGGGTATAAGCGGCTACAAGATACAACTGTAAAGACCTCTTATGATAAAATTGGCCAAACTGTATGCTCCCTTAGCCGAGCTGCTACAGCTCAAAGCTCGGGATCGCTCTATTTGGAGAGTGGTTGATTAATATAAGAGTTACCGCTGCAACAACTTGTCTATTCATACTGTCTGACATTCTGTATCACACAGTTGGAGTTTAAACGTCGCCGTGAGAAACACACAAGCAGGCCCCATTCTTTAACAAACCTGTTTCTTGATTTCGTCCACTTCTCTCTGGACAAGTTGCAACGGTCCTTTTCTTTTTGGTGGCATTTATTTGCTTTTTTATGGGTCATAATCCATGCGTTAGCTAGCTAGCTGACTCTACACTTCCTCTGGTCGCTAGGCAACCGAGTTCCTCTTGAGGCTTGGGCTTGACTCTGAAATTAATTAATTGTCTATATTAACCTTGTTCATATATATTGTGTATTTATTATTAATAACTATGTTTTACAACACTTGTGGTGTATTAATCTTTTCTATATTTATAATCGAATTTATTATACAAGAAAAGAGAGACCATCTGACATGATTTCCTCCTGGTATTGAGCTAACGCCATCTACTGGCTGGAGGATGGAGCTGTTGAAAAAAAGAAATCTGCTAAAGTTGCTTCTTATATGTGGTTAATTAAATGGCTACCTCTATATGTTTCTATGGTTACTTGCAAGTAAGAATTTGTAATGTTGAAAATAGTTGACAAGACAATGTTTAATGCAGGTCTGAAGCTCCAAATCTGACCACTACACAGCACCTCACAAATAGAAAATTGATTCACAAATGTCTGTTTGAAAGTTGTAAATATTATATACATCTTAAACACTTTTAATTCATATGAAAATTTGTTTGTGAATTTGCAGATCCGTTTTAAACATGCAAGATATTTTGTGTGTTTACAAATAAATTTTTGTATTGTGGAAGGTGTTTTATATTCACAGTTTAAACATTCACACACTGATTGTCGATCTGTTCACACCATATTGAGACAAATTTAACTCTTTATAGAGCAGACACGTGTGTATGCAGAGTTGTGTAACCTTCCTTGTGACCTACAGAGGGCGTATTATATTGTGAAACATGCTGCCTTTAAGTTCTCCTCGTTAGCTTCCCTTTTTCAATGTTTATGTCGAAATCGTGATTTCAAAACACGTTTTTATTGCTTCTCTAGGTGGTAAATAAATACATCCCCATTGCATACTTTGTAAAAGTCATTTGCCAGCAATGTCCTTACTATCTTGCTATTCGAAACTTTCGAAATTACGACTTTTGTGATGGAACATGAACGCAGCAAATACTAGCTTACTCTACTCACCTCCAGTGTTATGTCATTTTCCTGCCATGGCTGCCCCCATCGCTCTCATTCAAGGCGCCAGCAGAGGCCTGGGGCTTGAATTCTGCAAGCATATTTTGAAAAACAAAACCCCTGCTGCCGTTATAGCGACATGCCGAAACCCGGATGGAGCGGCCGAGCTGCGGAGCCTGACCGGTCAACACCCGGGCAGGCTGACAGTCCTCAGGCTGGATGTGAACCGGGAGGAGGACATCCGCGGAGCAGCGGAGCGGGTTAAGGAAAGCTTCGGTCGGCTGGATTTGATTGTCAACTCGTCGGCAATGCTTCACCCCTCGGGGAAAGGAGAGACCAGCCTGAGAGATGTTTCTGCTCAGGTAAGGCATGTTTACTGACGATGTTTGAGCTGCTCTCACAATATGTTGAGTGGCATAAAAATGCTTTAAAGTTAGGTATCTTGTTCTACAAGTCTACAACATCATGTAAACTTGTCAGCCATGTCTATTCTGAGGTCTAGGGAACCACCCAGTGATCCTGTTGACATTGTCTGGAGTTCACAACAAAATAATCACATCCTTCACTAAAAGTCTAAACTCATCATTTTTATAAATAACTTATTGGGGAATTCACTTAGTTCCCTTCCCCTCTCTTTTGGGCATCGTTTCGTTTTGTTCATTCATGTGTTTTTTTCATCCACATCCCATGGCTCCATGGAAATAATCAGGGGGGTAACATTTGTGTCCTGGAACACCACCAAAGAACCCACCACATCTTTCAGCTGAACCATGGATCTGTACTGACTGATTGATTTTCTCTGTCAGGGCATCATTTTCACTTTGACAACCAACACAGTGGGTCCACTGGTTATGGCAAAATATTTTGCGCCTCTCCTTCAGAAGGGTGGAGGTGGTTTCGGCCAACAGCCTGCAGAAAAAGCCAAGCAGCACAGTGGCATCATTGTCAACATCACTGCCAAAGTGGGATCCATTGGCGACAACGGTAGGCATTGTGGGGGGAAAAAACATCAACCACCAGCAACTAGGTTACAATTCAGAAACCTTTTAAATACATGTACACACATTATGTAGATTACACCACTGCTGTTGCCTTGAGTAGAAGTCAAGGGAATCACAAAATAAGTTGTTTATGCAGTGTATGCATGTTAATGGAGAATAATATGCTGTATTTGTCTTCCAATCTAACTTCCTCTCTCCACTCCAACTTCTTCTCTCAGGTCTTGGGGGTTGGTACAGCTATAGGATGTCTAAAGCAGCTCTCAACATGGCCACCAGGAATCTGTCTATAGAGCTGGGCCGCAGTCGACCCAAGGTCGGTCTGAGTGCTCTCAGACATGCTTTTACCTTTTTTAATTTCATAAATACCAAAAACAAATGACACAATAGTGGAGACTATTGATAGCCTCCATATCTGCTCCAACACTAGCAGAGAAAACATGTTCGTCACTGGATGCATATGATGTCCTTATACCACAGGATCTTATAGTGATCTGATCAACTTGTGTTTCTGATTCTTCTCCAGGTGGTGTGTGTGTCCTTACATCCAGGAACAGTAAACACAGACCTCTCCCGGCCATATCACAGGAATGTGCCAAAAGACAAGTTGTTCAGCACCGAACAATCTGTCAGCTGTCTGATGAGCATCGTAGATGCCCTGAATATCGAAAAGACTGGCAAGGCTTACAACTGGGATGGGACTGAACTTCCTTGGTAGAATCAATAAATGGAAAGGAGGTCCCTGGTGGAGTCAGTCTAACCAGTCAAAAACAAATATTTTCCACTACCTCACAACCAACCAAAGTGCTACAATCACCTGTGACACTTGCCATCACATGAAGGCCTTATGTGGCTGATGCAGCTGTAACTATTCTATTGACCCAATGTAACATGAGTGGGGCTCATGTTGGCAGCAGAAATAATATATAATGATACCAATCTTGAGTGTTTTCTGCAGCATCAAGTGGTTTATTTTAAAGGAATAGTTTGATATTTTGGGAGATATGTTTATTCACTTGCTTTCCAAGAGTTAGATAATAAGATTGATCACACTCTTATACAGTATTTGCTCATTCAGTATGATGCTAGAAACAGGAGGTTAGCTTACCATAAAGACGGGAAACGGCTATCATGGCTAAAGCTTACAAATTAACATGGTATATCTCGTTAGGTTAATCTGTACAAAAACCCAACTATAAAAATGACGAACTGGTTTTACAGTATTGATCTTCTCATGTAAGGCTCAGCAACGAAGCAAATGAAAGCATATTTCCCAAACCTATTCCTTTAAGTGTGACAGGTATAAACAATTTCAATTATTCCTTGTTGTCTTTCATTTCTTATTGTTGAATAAAATCACTTTTTGTCATGACATTAGAGCGCTGAATTATTGTATGTGGCACAGTATCTTAAGATAATGTGGTTTCACTGAGAGATTCAAAACAATTACATGAAATCATTCCCAGGAATAAATAGGGTTATATGGGCAACCTTTGTTACTGTGGGTGCAGCATCTGTGTTGGATTCAGATACATTGCGGGGATGTGCCCAGCAGGGGGTATGGCATTTACACCTTCAAGGCTTTTAAAGTGTGTTGCATCCTCAGTCATGACGTTGAGGAAAAAGCATTGCATTTCTTTGAATAACAGAGGATAGAAGTCACGCACGAAATAAAAACTTAGATTTTATTTCTGAAACAGTGTAATAAATATTTTTCTTGTAAATGAGTGCTTTCAGGAGCAAACCTGCTGCACTGCATGTCTGTGATTGTTTTTATGTTTGTGCAGCTCTTCTTTACAGAAGAAGAGGAGAGACTTAAGGCACAAAGGGTTATGACTAATTGGCTGGGTAATGACTGAACTCAATCCTATTAAGAGACTTGCACCTGAAGGCTATACAACGTTGACCTGATTCTTAACAAATTGAGGTTACCAGGTTAATTCATCAGACCATAATTACATACATTTAACCAGAAAATTAAATAACATTCCCACTTTCAAGATGGAGACTGTCTCCTCAGAAGCCAGCCTACTTGTTAAATGATAATTAAAAATTCCTTACATTTCCTTCATTTAGTCAGTGAGTAGAAACAACTCAACAGTAATTACTTTAACCAGAAGATGGCAGCATTTAAAACTTAATTAATGTTCTTTACTGACATTGTGGAAATGATGGCATCTGTATATCCATTGTTGGCTTATGGTCTTCATCACAGTAAACTTCCATTTATTGATTGTTTGGTAAAGTGGTGTTACAATAATCTTTGGCTGAGATTACAATATGCCTGCATTGCTCCATGAGTGACCTTAAACTTTATGGTGAAGGTCTTATATAATGGTGCATTTTTACTCTTTATGGCACTTCTTAATCTGCATGTATTAACTTATGGTATTACTTAACTATCCAATGAACTGCAGGGGTGTCTGTGGTACTTAGTTATTGTATGACTATATAATAACCTTATGGTTAAGTGTGTTTTTGTCAGTATCACTTTACACAACTGTTTTTAAAACAATAATTATAGATTTTATTTCTTAACATATGTTTCTGGATACTTGTATAGCTTTTGAAAACTGAAATTTAGGTTAGGAATTAATTGGAAAGAAAGAAAGAAAGAAAGAAAGAAAGAAAATAAATGTCTTCCTAATGGTTCTAGTGATTGTTTCAAGTTTTTTGTCTTTATCAAGCTGAGATTGTTGTTTGACCTTTGTATCTTGCCTGATTTGAGTTTGCTATTCAATGCTCTGTTTGATATCAGGTCTCTCTTCAAATAAATGTTAATCTCATTACGACTATACCTGTTAAATAGAGCGGATTCTTTGCAATGTCATTGCCTTTTATTGTGCCACACAACTAAACATATATACAAATCAGATCTGACAATTTAAAATGTTACGACAAGACTTCTTATCAGAGCCTATTGCTAAAAGAAACACATTTGTATAATTTGCCTTGCTTTTGCATGCAACAACAGGGTTACTCCGGTTTATTACCATGACAGATAATATTGACAGGCAGCTTTGTGTGCACATCACGCGTGGAGAGGACTGCGGGGAATGAGGATGACAGCGGACAGCGACGCTTATAAATAAAGCGCCCACAGCTGCACGGACTGGTACCGTGTGTGTGTGTGCGTGTGTCGGACTTTGCTTAATATTCCAGCGGGGAGCTGCCGCAGCCCATCACTGTACAGCAGGCAACACAGGACGAGTCCTTTCTTGCGTTCCTTTGTGTTCGAGTGTTGAATTACAGTGTCATTTTACCGCAGAGGGGAGAGAAAACCGGTCGGAGGAGGTGAACGGGTTCGGGCCTCGGTTGGAGGAGGTGGAGTGACGTAGCAGTCCGCACACACACACATACACACACATACAAACACCGGCTGCTGCTGCTGCGCCTGCCAGGATCTCAATGTAGGGAAATGACCGCGAGTGACCTCAAAGGAAACACTGTATTTTAGCGCTGCTCGCGTTTTTATTTTACACTACATTAAAGCAAGAATGGATGTTGAATTTTAGGTAGACATTTTTACGGTAAAATCACGTCATATCACGGGAAAGAGTAGCGTTAGCTAATCGCTCGGCTGTCTCACTAGCTTGCAAGTGGCTAACATTAGCTAGCTAAGCTACAGCAGCCCGGTTTGTCATTGCTAGCGGCCGGGCTTGTACATTTTGTTTCCCGCAGATGCTAAGCTAAGCTAGGCTAGGCTAGGCTAGCTGCTGCCATGGATAAAGCAAAGTCAATGATGGACAAGAAAGGAGCGTCGGGACCCTTTCATGTCAACAACGGGCAGAGCCAGAGGGGGTTTCACGGCCACGTCGTTGTGGCTGCTAATGGCAGTTGCTGCAGCGGCAATGCGTTCGGCTCGAGCACCGGACCCAACTGCAGCAGCACGTTTGAGAACATGCATCATCTGCACCGCAGCGACGATGCAGAGTGCAACGGGTCCCCAGCCAAGAGGTGCAGGCTGCGGAGGAGGACGGAGTCGGTGAGACGGAACAGACCCCGTAAGTGTCAACCTGCTTCTGCTGTCATTGAATTGCACACATGGTCTGACATGATGATGTGCTGTTTGTGTGAAACCGGGTGACTGTAACCCTCCACTGTGCAATACTGCTCAGCCGGGGTTTGCACAACCCCGCCGTGGTGCAACAAGAGAACAACCTCTGACACTCAGCTTGCGTTCTGCTTTCACTGCCTTTATATTCATTGCTCTTATTGTTCGGTTGTTAATTTGTGTTTTAGGTCACAATCTTGTCTTTTTTTTTTTTTTTTTTTTTTTTTTTTTTTAAGATTAGGTGTCATGACTCTCTAGCTGCTCAGTCCAATCTACAAGCCTGCCGTCGTCAGGGAGACCCCCTTTTGTTTTTATGAACCCTCAGGTTCCATTTGGTGCGGTGTGATTGGTCGGTTCCCGGTGGTGAAAAAGCTCCTGATAAGTGGGCTTGGCTTGCCTCAGCCAACCAACACCCGCCTCTTGTCTTCAGAAGGCAGGGTGAATGGGTCGGCACCCCGCCCCCTTATTTACCGAGTGTTTCGGATGATGTGAGTAAAGATCATCCAGGAAAACTTTCCCGTTTTAGCGCAGAATGTAGTGAAAGTGTCGTTGTCTTCGTTGTGTGAAGTCTGAGACTGACTGAGCCCTGCTTAACTCTTCTCTGGCAAGCTTGTTTAATATCATTTTTTTTAGATTTATATTTTTGTTTTGTATGTACCAGTGAGCTGATATTTTGCCTCAACTATGAAGCTTATAAGTGAAAAGAAGCCCGGTAAGTCTCAGTTGGTTTGTGTTTCATTGTAATGAGAAGACCTAGGTACAAATCATGTAACAAAACATTTAAATCTCTTCAAATGCTATGAAAACAAATCTCTTATTTTCCTAAATTCATTATCTTCATAAATTAATGCGTCAGTCAGACTGTTGCACATTTAAAACATGATAAAAAGGCAAAGATTGTTGACTTCAACAAAGAAACACAACAGACTGGACTTTCTCAGTACGTGCTCTTTAAAGTCATTCTTTTGCAGACAGCTGATTGTTTTCCATTGCAGGGAATTGCCACTGACTAACCAAGATTCCTCACAGCTCCTTTTAAGTCAAAGCCCCATGATTTGTTGTGCCTGAGTGCGGCTGTCATGGTGAAATTTGTTCTCATTTTGCAGAGATAAGTGCTGTAAGTTTAGAAGCCTCGCTGCTTAGTCAGCCAGTCAGCATTCTTTATATCTAAATGTAATTGTGTAAGGGTGAAAGGGTGGGGCATCAGTTTTGGTTTCTGCTATCATAGAAATGTTAAAAACTATAAGATTTTATTTTGATTTTATTCAGAAACCATTTGACACAACAGGATGTGCATCAAATTAGACCTTTTACTGTATGACCAGGGATGCTTAAGTAAATATTGCAACACCATTACTGTGATAAAGTTGCGGTATTTACTGTTATATCAATTACTGCTTATCACCAATGTATACAGTAGTCAGAAGCATTTTACTGATTCACGATGCAGTTATTCACTTATATTGAGGCTCCATCTACAAGGTTTTACAATATTTATTGCATTTTTAAGGAGTCTCCGCTTTAGGCTACATCCCCTCTAATTTAACTATTTGTTTACCTCCATCTTAGACTTTGGGTCTGACAGGTTATACCTGTGCAAGACCAGTTAACTACAGCTTTCGCTTGCTGTCATGTCTTAACAGGTTTTGATTTTAGTAAATTAAGTGTTTAGTTTTCTTTTCCAATAATGCGACACTGTATGTGTTTTCACAATTACTCGTGTTCAGGCACCACACAGGACCATTTCTGTTTTTGCGTCCTTGATTGATTGATTCATAGAAATTTGTAACTTGTTGTAGATTATAACACAATATGGAAATCTGCGGACATCTATTCAGTGTTAACGTAAGCACCGGCTGTCACCTCTCCCCTGGAATATGAAAGATGTGTAGTTACTGTTTAGATAAAACCAAATCACCACATTCAAGAAATGTTGACAGTTTATTAGGCACCACTGTAAATATACAGTATGTAGTCCGGATTGTGTATCTGTCAGTGGGATGAGATATTTCTTGTACTGATATGATGAAAGGTTAAAACAAAGCAGCCATAAAACAGGAAAATCCTCATGAGAAAACTCCACCATACACAAACTTGACATTCTTCTCATCTTGCATCATATGGTCTTGTGAATATGGGTAGATAAGTTACTGGAGAAGTGTGATGTTGCAATGAACTGACTGACTGCTGGATAATGCAATGAATCTTTTCTGTGGTTTTCAGTGATGAATAGTAGTGTGAGAGCTGGCCCAGATGAAGTAATTAAGGGACATCTCATCAGTAAACTTTGAAATGTCCGGTCAGAGCTCCTATGCTTTATGGCTGAGTTATCCTTGGATGGAGGCCAGCCGTTCTGATAAACCCAGATAACCCTCTAAGCTTTTCCTCACTGAGGGCCAGCCGTGGAATGTATTCCCCTCGGGGATGTGATTTTTCACTTTTGTCCCCAGACTTTTCTCTACTCAGGGATTGAGGTGGTTTTGGATCGGGGTTACTTTTGGGTAGCGCTGCCAGCAATTCCTCTTGTTTACACCAGAAGTAACTTGGCAGCAATTTCACTGACTCTCTCCTGGAACAGAATTGCTTTTATTTTAACCAGCAGGCTTATTCTCCAGCTCCATCACTTGTGTGACAGGGTTGAAGTTTCTTTTTATACTTCATATCTAATTTGTGTATGAGGCAATTTGGAGAAATATGCAGCGTTTCAACACAAAGTGAAATGTGCAAACGTACCAGCAATTATAATTTCCAAAATCTGGTTGTATTTGTAGATGTCTAGATGTCTGTACTAAATGAATTTAGCTCTTCATCTGTTGCTGAAGTGCGCTTTATTTTATGCCTAATGCACAGCACATATTGTAAATTATTAGTGTGTGTATTTCTATTCTTTGTATCATACCTTAATTTGCCCAAAACAGTTTTGTGGACATTTTGGCATATACTGTTTAAATCACCCTGTATGTGATCTTATGGGCGTGGTCAGTAGTGGGCAGAATAGGTGGGTGAGCAATCAAGGTGGGCTTGACATCCCAGCGTTGGGAAGTCATTACAATGATAACAGTGGAAGAAAGAGGATGAAACTTTTATAACTTACCCTTCACCTTTCTCTCTGTTGTTTCTTCTGTCCTGAACAGGCGTTGTAGACTGCTGTGTCCATGTGTCAGTGAGACACATGGCTTTGAGCGACGTACATTGCACTGTCACATCTGCTGTGTGGGGTCACCTTAAAATAAAAACAGGAAGCTCAGCAGTATTAGTAGCCTATATTATTATCACATGGAATTGTAATTTGTAACTATAGATGAATGTTGAAGTTTCACATACAGTATCAGCAGTGTTTCATTTGCAAGCTTTTCAAGAAATCCGGACGTGCAGAATGGTCAGATTGAGGCACAACCTGTTATAATTGGTATCAGTTTTCGAGGAATTTTGACTTGAACAATATTGTGTGATTAAGTGTTTTGAGGGAGTTACAGAGAAATTAGCATTTTTTCCGAGATAACGGACATATGATGTAGGAAGTCATGGAAAAAAACATACTTTCCAAGGAATCTCAATGGAGAGAAATTGCTTAGTGTTGAGACTAGGGTTTAACTGCTAGTACATGGTGGTTATATCAGCATCTGGGAAATGAAAACATTCCCAACTGACACCACCTGGATGTTTCTTAGTAGTAGAACCTTTAACTGAGGGCTATGGGTCAGCCAGTTTTCAGCGGGTTTTGGTGAACAGTAACAGCCTGAGTTTGTGTGTTAATTCAGTAACAGAGTAACTCCCATTAAAAGGTATAGGTTTGTCAGAAAGGTCTTCCACAGGTCAAGTCAATGTTCCACCATTGTCTATTGCAGATGGATCACGTGCTAACAAGTTTCAGTAAGGGTGTAGGTGATTTCAGGAGGGAGGGGAATGGGGGGAGTATTAAGGATAATGTAAATCAAGATGATGGGAATTGTTCACTCCATGGCACACCCGAAAACCAACAGAAACTCTTCCTTCTGTCTGAAACTGTGCAGAAACCTACATGTTTAGCATTTCTTTTTTTCCCAGATATAAAAGTGTCATTTGTCAGTCATCTGCTCAGTGATCTGCAAGATAGACAATCTGTCAATTAGTCAGAAAATGAATTGCCAGCCATATTGATAATGAATTGATCATTTTTCAAACAGAAATGTCAAAAAAATTCTGTGCTACTCTTCTTTATTTTACATAGCTGCAAATTGGATTTTCTACTGTTCATCGGACAAAAAAAGGTTGATGATTTATGGATTAATTATGAAAATAATTGGCAGATTAATCAATAATGAAAACAATGAGCCCTAAATTTGTTTACTACGGCAAATACTTACAATGAGGAACCAGCAGCAAGGAAATAATTTGTATACCTCTGCTTGAAAAATCACTTTGATTATTTAATAGAAACAATTGTAGATTAATTTTAGTCAATTGACTAATCAATTAATTGTATGAGGTCTACCATAGTAATTATAGGACTAAACAATGTAGTCATAAAAGCAGTGGCAGTGGATGTAGTGATAGTTATAGTACTATGAGGACATTAATGGTGAAACTCTGAATCAGTGAAGAGAGTGACAGGACAAAACTTCCAGTGATGTGTGATTAGTAATGAGTGTATGTTATTGTATCCAGACCAGTGGTGTATTTTCTTCTTATCATACAACATGCTGTACAAGTGCTGGTTTTGTCCTGTGCTGTCTGCACAATGTAGTCTCACACACACACACACACACACGCACGCACGTGCACACACACACACACATACACACAGTTTAAGCAATAAGAAATTTAATAGAAATTGTTTGTTGTTGCCGGTAATCCCTGAGGTCATGTTGGAAAGTAAGCATGGTGGAAAAAAATAAATGTTATGAGTCTTTCTACACTTTCACACTTACATACTGTATCTACCACATGGGCAAGGCAGAGTGTCGGGCC